CTCTCTTGATGGTCTTATGGTCCTCTGTTTCTGGACTGTAAGATTAACTACTCCCCCATTTTTGTTACAAAACTTCTACCTTAACAAGTGTGACAGTCACAATTAGTCGTGATAACAGTTATTCACTGTTGAATCATAAGCATCTTATCCCCATCTCTCTTCACCAGAATCTGAACAAGATGAAAACTATTCAGTGGGGACTCTGCCTTCCTCTACATACTCTTAAACTAAATTCCCTCTTGAAGCCAGTCACTTCGTGCCATTATTGCCCCCTCATTTTAGTTAACCAGTGTCTAAGTTGCCTGTCCCTATCTACCCTGTATACAGAGGGGATAGGATAGCATTGATACTTGATATGAAGACTCCTCTCTCTGTTGGTATTTTGAGCTACTATATAAGTACACATATATATTTTTGACTTTATTATTCAAGTTTATTTGATCACTAAGCAGTATTTTGGGTCAATTTATATGTATCTGTGCATCATGCTATTTTCAAATATTTTAAAAAATATATTTTGTTGGACAGTTTTCTAGAAATGAAATTGCTGGCCCATAACCTGTTGCCACTGAATAGGTTATACTTTTTTGTGTGTGTTTGCCTTTGTTTTGCTAATAGCACTTGAATGAACTCAAATCTATTATGGTTAATTTGTTGCTTTTAGAATGTATCTGAAACCATTGGAGTCAATAGCATAGGTATTTTATTTCTAGCAAATTTAGTTCTTGCCTTTATAACTGTATAGGTCAGGGGTCTACCAGTTTAGTATAAGAAGTCAGATAGTAAGTAAATATTTTAGGTTTTGTGGGTTTGGAGGTCTCTGCCACAATTGCTCGCCTCTGTAGCTGGATTTAAGAGCAATGATGCCTAGTATGTAAACCAATGGGTGTGTCTCAGCTCCAGTCTGTGCTTCAGAGCCTTGGTGTGGTGCTGTGGGCTCAAGCACTGGACCAGTGTCATTTGAACCAAGTGACCAATGGTTCAAACGCACCACATACCGGCTCACTATGAGTCAGAACCTACTCGACGGCATTTAGCGACAACAACAACCTCATGCTTCAGTAAAAATTTATTTACAAAAAAAATCAGGACAGACATGGGCTGTAGTTTGTGAATCCCTTGAATAGATCAAAATGAAAATACGTAGTATCAGGAAATTAAAAATCAAAATTGTCTTGGATGGTGAATGAGAATGGAAGAAAAATAACCAAGAAAGAAAATAACAATAGTAGAAATATAGGACATTATTTTCTAGTTCCATTTAGATGTTAATGATTAATGTTTTCAAAATGTTTGTGGTGTGTCTGACACTATAGTGACTTTCGTGTGCTTGTTAACCTCCTAATACAATTGAAGCACTATAATCTATAAAAGATAACAGTCTATTTTAAAATGAAATCTTAAGGCAATTTTAGATTGTCACTATTAAAATCGATTCTGTTCAACTGGATCCCTGTACCCTAAATCCTAAATCCTAAGCAATGTGAGCAACCTTTTGAAATTATTGTTATGAGTGAGCCCTTTTTAACAAGTGAATTATTTAGGTTGTTATATTAAATAACTTACTCAGATTAACAGGATTAATATATAAAGTTGCTGCAATCTGACTCTAATTTCATATAATGGGAAATGATTTCTGATCTTGATTTTTGAATTCTGATTATATTGCAAATGGGATCAGCTGCTGTTATAAATCACTGCAGAAAACAGTCCTCTTCATGCTTTGTATTTATTTCCATTGGTTTAAACTTGTTTTTTTAAACAAGGCAATACATTTATTTTCATAATTTTTTTTTGCAGGAACCACCAGAAATGGAACTTTTAAAATTTGTCAGACCAGAAAACACAACTGTTTCCTCAAGACCATCAATAGAGCAGCTTTCTAGTCTCATTAAAACAAGTCTTCACTATCCAGAATCATTTAATCATCCATTTCATCTGAAAAGGTTTGATATTTATTTTTCAGAAATTTTCTACAACACACACATTTATTTATTTAATTTTATAATAGCTTCAATCCAAATAGAAATTTAGAGTGGTATTTGGGAATGATGCTTAATTTACCTTTGCTACAGTTACTGTGTTTTGCAGCTGTGCTTCAAGAGCGATATTGCCTCAGCCAACTCTGAGTGACTGAAAGTTTCCCTTTAAGGAGAGAGCAGGGTTATTGTTAAGCTCCAAAGATGCAGAAAGTGTATTATTTTTGTCTTAGACACAGAAATTAAACCTAAGGCGTGATTATAATATGGACTCATTTAGAACATTTCAAATTGAGACAATATCATTTACTTAAGATTTACTAAGTGCTAGGAAAATTTTGCAGACTTTGCTATCTGGGTAAATAGCTTAAATACATAAAGTTCTGAAAGCAGAAACTCCTAAATCAGGTAAGAGTTCTTTATTAATATTATCTTTATTCTTTGTAAAGTAAAAGGTAGATAAGAGTATGTAATCACACTTCATTTGTGTACAGTTTGCGTCACTTAATATATTTCTGATTTGAAATCTATACCAGTCTTTTCACAGATCCTCTACTAGCACTGTGGTTCCTGTATCTCAAGCTTTCCTAATTTATTAACTATGTAGTAATATAAAAAACAGAGCTACTTGAGCACATGGGTCCATTTGACAACACTTTCCTCATAGTGTGTATAGAAAAATTCTCAAAGTCTCCAAAGCATCATGATTTTATGAGACTTTGTTAGAAACACAAATGTCTAGGTCAAGTTCTTACAATTAGGTATTTTTCAGTAAATATAAAGAGGACAAGAATAGTTATTTGCATTTTAATGATTCATTTTTTTTCTCCATTGATCATTCTTAGTTGAGATTTTCTAATTTCATTCTCCATTTGAGTAAATAACTACCTTGAAAAACTTTAATTATATTGAAAATTAACTATTACACTGAAAATAAATTGGTTGTGTGTGTTAGCATTGCATTATGTTTGTTACTTTATATTTACACGCATAATTTGTCTTGAGTGATTTTGAATTCAGGTTTTTTTTTTTTTCTTACTTGAATCTAATTGTTTTTAAGGTGTTTGTGCTTTGTTAAGTATTTGTCCGCATTATTTTTAAGGAAGTTTTATCTTTAAGAAAAAAATACGCAGCTAACCAACCATTTTTTGTTTATTTTTCCTGTGTAGCCTTTGTTTAGTACCAGTCACACTTTTACTTTCCAATTGCTCTAGAACTGATGTGGATGTCATAGTTGATCTTCGGCATAAAGCAACAAGGTAAAAATTTATTTAGTATATTTTTAGTTTAAGGTTTAAAATTTTTTGAGAGAGTTTAATGTTTTGGAAATGTGCACACAATTACCTTTCATGGATCAAGTTATGCAGATATTTTGTTTGGTCACAGAAGTCCATAGAGCATTGTCCTAGTGCATGGTAGTGACAGAATGGAAAGCAGTTTTCAAAAGCAGCAAATTATATTTTCCAGAAGCAAAATATTTTATAAAAGTTTGTTGGTGTTGAAGAACCTTAATGAAAAATCATCAAGTTTGTGATATTAGCTTATTCAAGGTTTCTTGTGGTTGTGTATGTGGTTACAAAATAATACTTTAAAAGTCCAGGTCCACATTCTCATGTTTGATACTGTTGGAGCCAGATGCTTTTTGCAGTTCAGATTATTTATTTATTTTAAATTGTACAGCATAGACGGAATATTCTGTTACTCCACAAACAATATGGGGCCGCTCTCCAGCTTATTGGTTGTTGAGTAATATAATGCTGTTGAAAATTGTTTTCCATTCTGCCACTACCATGCACTAGGCCAATCCTCTATGGACTTCTGTGACCACACAAAATCTCTGAGCAAATCTGAGTAAACTTGATCAATGGTAGGTAATGGTGTGCATATTTCCAAAATAGAAATCCAGGATATTATATGTACAGTTATGTACACCATAATTTACACTACACAAATTACATTACATAATTTACATTACACAAATTAATTTTTTTTTTTTTTTTTTTTAATTTACTAATATCTTTTTGTTGGACACTATTTTTTCTGTTTCTTAATATTGTAAAAAGTACTGGGATGTAAGCATTTGTATATGCAGATTTCTTTTTTTGTATGTATAATTGAGTGGTTAAAAGCTCAGGTTTGAAGTCAGGTTCTGCCATTTACTAGTGTTACGTGAGATAATCTACTCTTAGCATTGTTCTTTAAGCATAGTAATTGTTAATAAATGTTAACTATTGCAGTAACAGTAGTAATAGCTACTATTATTTTTGCTCCAGGACTTTGTCTAATGTAGTGGATTGCAAACTGGGCTGCTAACCCCAAAGACAGTCTCTGTGGGAGAATGATGAGGCTTTCTGCTCTCATAAAGATTTACAACCTCAGAAACCCTATACAGTCTCTATGAGTCAGAGTCTACTCGGTGGCACATAACTGCCACCACCACCGTTTTTTTTTTTTTTATTGTCATCGTGATTATTTATAGACAGCATCATAAAATAATTTCTAGAAATAGAATTGCTAGGTGAAAGGGAATAGTGATAGGATTTGGAGAAAACATATAAAGGAAACAAACCCTCATTTACCATTTTCTTCCTCTTTTAGTCCAGATGCATTGGAAATCCATGGATCATTCACATGGCTTGGACAAACACAATATAAACTTCAGCTTAAAAGCCAGGAGATTCACAGTTTGCAGCTGAAAGCATGCTTTGTTCATACAGGTGTTTATAACCTTGGAACTCCTAGGGTATTTGCCAAGTTATCAGACCAAGTTACGGTTTTCGAAACAAGTCAGCAGAACTCCATGCCTGCCCTGATCATCATCAGTAATGTGTGACAACGTAAAAATTTGTACTGAAAACACCATCAATTCATAGTTTGCTGAATGGGTTTACAGCAGTATTAGAAATACCTAACTTCTTGTAGAGGTTGGTGTCGGGGCACTAAAAATAGTGTGACTTATCAACATTTTGATGATGCAAAGCACGTTGGACTGAGAATACTTATCTTCTTTTCTATTTCTTTGAAACCTGGTAACAATTCATATGCTCATAATACAGACTTTCAGCATATCCATGCACCTTATTAGGCCCTGTCTTAAAAATGTCTAAGTCTGCTGTTACAGCTTATTGATGGTCTTTGAATATTAGGAGATGATTTTGAGGAAGGAAAGGCCTTATTGGCAATACTCTGTTAAGCCATTAGTCTATAAATCCCAGCTTTACTGTGAAGTTCTATAGAGTGTTAAATACGAATTTTTCTGTCTTCACAACAATTCTCTAAAATCAGTTTTGAACTTCAGTTATAGAGTCTTCATAATTCAGTATCTGGTGGTCTCTATGGCTTATACATAACTTTGTAAAAATAAGAAAAGTTTTTTCCGATGCTTTGAGTATACTTTTGAAAGAAGTTTGACTTTTTTTCCCTCATTCATCAGTATAGAGTGCTCTATTTCATAATATGAAATTTTTGTCATTTAAATTATCATTTTCTTTATTATGTAACTTTAACAATTGAGTTGATCTGTTTAAAATATAAATCTACTCAAGATAATTAAAAATAAGCTTTTCAGAAATGTATTATATTTATAACAAATGTACTGTAAATAGAATAAAAACATGATATTCACTGTATAGTTTTATTAGATTCCTTTTTTAGAAAAAAACACACACAAAAAAACAACATTGGGCTTTCTGAAGTATTAACTGTGTTCTTTATCTGAGATGTATACTATTGACTACATATTATTATAGCTGGTTGCAGACCAATTTCCAGGGGAACGTTTATTATCATTGTTTCCAAAAGTAAAGTTACAAGTCTTGTTTTTAACAGATTTTGATGTCTTTGTTATACGTGAACAAATTAATTTTGTCTTTAAAAATGTCATGTTTGATTCCTGCTTACAAATTTCAGTAATCCATTTACATCTGGTAGTAAGGAAGATCAGTGTTTGTTGGGTTGTTGTAAATAACTGCATTTCAAATCTGATTCTGACAATGCCAGACTAGGTAATTTAGCCTTCTAGTTGAAAAACATGAAAATGTATGTGCAAAATACAGAAAATACCAATGTTACCATTATACCCAGTTGTTGATTTTAGGTGTCAACAAGTCAGTTCTGACTCATAGTGAGTACAATATAACAAAATACTGTGTGATTGCACCATCTTCAAAACCATTGCTATGTTTGAGTCCATTGTTACAGCTACTGTGTCAGTCTGTTTTGTTGAGGGTCTTCCTATATGTACTAATCCTTTATCACGCATGGTGGTCTTCACTAGGGAGTGCTTCCCTCCTGATAACATGTCCAAAGTATAGGAGACAAAATCTTGCCATCCTCACTATTAAGGAGCAGTCTGGACATACATCTTTCAAGACCATTATCTTCCTTTTTATGGCAGTCCATGATGTATTCAGTATTCTCTGCCAGCACTGTAACTCAAATTCACCAATTATTCTGTCTTCCTTATTCATCCACCAGCTTTTGCATGCATATGAGAACATTGAAAACACCATGGCTTGTCCTCAAAGTGACAACTTTGATTTTTAACATTTTGAAAAGGTCTTTTGCAGTGGCTTGCCCAATCTTCTATGCCCTTAATTTCTTGATTGCTGCTTCCATAAGCATTTATTGTAGATATAAGTAAATTGACATTTTTGACTACTACAGTATTTGTTTTTTTAAATCAGGATGTTGCTTATTGGTTTAGTTGTGAAGATTTTCTTTTTCTGTATGTTGAGGTGTAATCCATACTGAAGGCTGTAGTCTTTGATCTTCATCAGTAAGTGCTCCAAGTCCTCTTCACTTTCAGCAAGATTGTATCATCTGCATATCATAGACTGTTAATGAGTCTTCCTCCAATCATGATGTTGCTCAGATGTATACTAAACATACAGATTGAATAAGTATGGTGAAAGGATACAACCCGGATGCATACCTTTCCAGTTTTTAAACCACGCAATTGTTCTGTTCAAATGATAGCATCTTAGATTATGTACAAGTTCCCCATGAGCACAATGAAGTGTTCTAGAATGTTATCCATAATTTGTTATGATTCACACAGTTGAGTACCCTTTCATAATAAATAAAGCACAGACACATACCTTCCTGGTGTTCTTGACTTTAAGCTAAGTCAATTAATTATGGACCAAAATCCTGAGGAAAGTCCAGGAGTTTAGGCTAGTATTTAAGACTACTTTGCCTTGGGAGTGTTTGCTAATTTAGGAAGAAGCAGACTTTGAGGCAAGAAATGTGGTTAGGGGGAGCAATATAAATTGAACAAGGATAGTTGTGACTCTCTAAATCTTCCCTCAAAAAGTATATAAATCAATAAAAAGAGTACATTAAATCACACATAATGTTTTTAGCATATCTGCACAAAATACTACTCATTCAACTTAAATGTAAGTGGGAAATTTAACACTAAATTTGAATAAAATTAAATCAAATTTGTGCTGCAAGTCTTTGTAGAGTGTGGGGATGGGGTGACAGGAATGAAAAAAGACTGGGTGGGTGGAAAAAAGGAAAGAGACCAAGTGAACTGAAATCACTAGAACAAGAAGAGCTACCCTAAACATAAAAATACTCGATTCATAGAACACTGATGACAGGCATTTAACAGGATGCAAGATCTAGGTACTATTTCCAGAAGACATCTCCTTTGGGAGGGAAGAGATATATATAATGGGAAGAATCATACTTTGGGTGATAATGGAAAAACAAGAAGGGAAAATTTAGGCTTCAGTAAGACCAAACCACAATATTGAAGGACCCACCAACTTTCACATTCATTCATTAAAGTAATTGTGCTGTACCACAATGACAGGAGTGGGTACCCTCAATCATGGAACCTTGAAAGCTACCCAGAATTCCAACCATGTCTACTAAATGAATAGACAAGAACAGGCTCTACCCCATAAACATTCCTATAAGAAGCAAAAATGAGAATATATTTCAGGTGATAAAAATCCATTTCCTCTTCCCAGCAAAAACCAACAGTGAACACTATCCTTGAGTTTTTTTGTTTTTGAATCTTGAGTCAAATTTTAAAATCAAAGGGAAGAGAAGGAGGGAGGTAAATAAAATATTAAAATCAAGAAAATGTTGGGAAGATAAAACTAGCTAGGAAGATTATAAAATAAGGCTAAATTGAGATGAAAAATTAATGGGCACTGAGAGGTTGAAAAGTGTCAAGAGGATGAAAATGAGATAATTGAAGGATTAGAAACAGTTTGAAAAGAAAGACAAAAATGTAATGAAGGATAATAGAAACGACACAAAACTGCGATTCAAGAAAACAACTCAGTGGAAACAGAAGCAGAATATTTAAGTAGCGCATGGTGTGCCTGGGAAGACAAGTAAACTGAACACAAAGTGATCATATTTTAAATACAATAATAACCTTTTGTACCTGTAGACAAAAAGACCACATTAATTACAGGACTAGAAGATCAGGTTGACGTCAGATTTCTCGTGAGTGACATTTGAAGCATGATGACAATCAGTGTTTTCAAGAAACTCCAAAAAGTGTGAACAAAGGATTTTATATCTAGCTACAATGGCACAGTGGCAGCTGCAATGGGCTCAAGCATAGCAATGATTGTGAGGTTGGCACAAGGCCAGGCAGTGTTTCCTTTTGTTGTTCAAAAGGTGTCCATGAGTTGATACTGACTTGACAGCACCTAATAACAACACAACAACCTTAACACAACAATTCTTACCAGCCGCTCCTTGGGAGCCCTATACAGAATTGCTGTGAGTTGGAACAGGCTCGACAGCACTTAACAACAACCTGGTCACTCAGGTTTCAAGGCTTTTAGCATACAAGAACTTGGAATATATTTCAGGACTTCTTAAGTAAGGAATATAGTGGAGCAGATGTGGATGAACTGCAGCCCATTAGTCAATTTGATCCATAGTCTATTTTTGTACAGCCTATCTGGTAGTGTAGTGGTTACGAATAGGGCTGCGAACCCAAGGTCAGCAGTTTGAAACTACCAGCTGTTCCATGGGAGAAAGATGAGGCTTTCTGCTCCTGTAAAGATTTACAGCCTTGGAAACACTGTACAGGGTTGCTATGAGTCGGAACCGACTCCACAGCACATAACAACAACAACAACATATTGTCAGTATGAACTCACAATTTTTAATATAGATCCTTTCTGAGGGCTCCAAGTTGAGTATCGCTATTTTCCATAAAATTTCAGTTTTCATTATTGCCTCCTATATGGTATGAGGGGGAAAAAGCTCCACGAGGCTCAGATCAATTTACCAATCCACAAAATTGTGAGATAAATAAATGGCTGCTATTTAAAGCATGTAAGTCTTGGAATGAGTTTTATGCAGCAGATATCAGCTAGGACTTCTTTACTTTCTGGTACAAGATGTTCCAGGCTCTTTTTGTACTTCACCTGTCCCAGTCTTGGAATGAGCCATTCTCCAAGGCCCTGGTTCCTTTCAGTAGAGAATATTTAGAAACCAAGGTCTGGGGCACTGGAGGTTTTCATTGCTTCTATGTTCTTTTAGAGGGCAGATAGATAATTCACACACATCTATGTCTATCTTTCTATCTACAGTTATTCCCTAAATTATGACATATTTGAATTATGACAAACCGCACTTACAACTGTTTTGGGTTTTGCTTTGTTGTCCATTTCATATTAGTTAATATGTATTAGACATTGTTACAGCACACAACCTGCTGATATTCTCAGGTGTTCACTCGCAGATGTTCATGTTATAATTTACTGTTCAAAACACTGCCATATTGTTGTTCTTATCAGGTGCCATCGAGT